AGGACTAGAAATGGTCTCATGTCATGCCGACGTCCTACTTTTCATTGCGTCAAAAAATACTTATCTTGTTTTCTATTATTCTAGATTCTAAAGAGCCCAACCAGCGGCGCACTGTAAATAAGTATTAGACACGAAATGTCTACTGTATAGCCCATTAACATTAATCTTATTAAACTTGTTCTTTGTAAATTCATATCACGCAATTGACAAATATGTATATGTAGCAGCTTCTCCTAGTTAAACAGTTTATACGCTGAGCTAAAAGAAATGTACGTGTTTCTGTGTTTAATTGTTTTATATGAATTGCGAAATTTTTCACAAAATGAATTTATTTCACCTACCGCTAGCGCAGCTCCGCTCTCTCTCCTCTCTCGTCTCTCTCTCTCTCGTGTGCTCCTCTCTCTCTCTTCTCTCTCCTCTCTACTGCTCTCTCTCTCTCTCTGCACTTCTCTTTCTCTCGATCTCGTCATCTCCATCTCTTCCTTTCTCTTCTCACTCTATCATCTACTACTCTACTCACATCTCTCCTTTCTCTCATCTCTCTCTCTCTCTCCTCTCTCTCTCTCTCTCTTTCTCACCGACCTCCTTCTTTTTTCCTCGAAAAATATTTTATGTATTTCATGTAGTCAAATACAAGTTTCCTCTACACACACACACCACACACACACACACACACACACACAGCACACCACACACAAGTCCAACATCCGCCGCGGGTACACGCAACGCTGTACAGGCGCGTCTGTTTAAAGACAGCATAAGGGCATCGCGCCGGCCATATCAACGCACATATATATATATAAGCAGAGACTCAATTGCAGCTGATTTTTTAAACGTAAAATGGCCCAGAAGATGGTTTGATTAAGAAATGAGTCAGCAGTTTTAGGACTACCCGTGACCGAGCCAAGGTCCGCAAGGATGGGCAACGGTAGACCAGAAGTTTCCATAATCGGGTTGACCTCAACGTGTAAAATGACCGAAGGTGCGATAATGCCTACATCATTCAGCGATCGCCTGGATTGTTATTAGTTTCATACAAACTGAACTCATAAGAAAATTTGGCGAGTAGAAAAAAATCCACTTGACGCGACTCCGTGATATAGAGCCCTTTATATAGTGATGAGAAATCCGCAAGTAAAACCGCCATTTAAAGGAGGAAGTTATGATTCAAGATTAGGGAGAGAGGGAGGAAATAGACGTAGATGGAGATGAGAGTAATGAGAGAGGAGGGAGAGAAAGAGAATAGGTAAGATGGAGACAGAGGTTATGGTAAAGAGGAGGGGAGGCAAGAGAAACGTAAGATGAAGATTTAAGAAGGTAAATGGGAGCGAGGGAGGAAGAGAAAGACGTAGATGGAGATAAGAGGTATGGAGAGAGAAAGGGAGGAAGAAAGGAGAACGTAGATGGAGAATAGAGGTCATAGGGAGAGCAGGGGAGGCAAGAGAAGAACTGTAGCATAAGGAAGAATTAGAGGTTTAATGAAGAGAGCAGGGCAGGTAAGAGAAATAATCGTAACAGAAGAATGGAGAATTCAGAGGATCATGAAAAGCGGGGGCGGCGGAAGAGAGTCGTCCGCACTGGAAAAAGAGGACCCCCCCACAGTAAAGAGGCTAATGGAAGGAAGGGGGCCCCAAAGGGGAAGAGAAAGTCAGCCATCAGATGCTGATGTCCGCCGACACGGCCACTCCCGCCTCCACACACACACACCCCACACACCACTACACCACACCACACACACACACACACCACACACACAACATACACACACAAACACACACAACACACAACCAGACACAACACAACACACCACAACACACACACACCACACATACAACACACTCACACACACACACACACACACACACACACACAACACACACACACAACGCGCGCGCGCGCGCGCACGCACACGCTTGCCACGTTTCCTAGCTTCCACTCTGCCTACGTGCCGAAACGCCGTAGTCGTGACAGACTCTACATAAATAAATACGGACAGTATATAAATACACGCGTGTACGCGCGCACACGCACGCACACACACACACACACACACACACACTACACACACACACACACACACACACACACACACACACAACACACACCACAACACACACAACACACACACACACACACACACACACACACACCACCATTACACAACGCCCAATTATGTCTTGACATCCGATACTTTACACGTAGAAGCAAAAAGTAGCCAATTAGAGGAACCCGTGTGGGACGTTTACGCATTTGCGGTACGGTAAAAATAGACGCGTCCGGTTTGTTATCTCGCTTTAATCTTAGATGGGTCCAAGGTCTTTACTGTGTTGTTTGACGCAGCGTTATATTATACGACACAGAGAACTGTACCCGACTGAAGTGTTCCGCCAAAATGGCTACTATCTTAGCTGTTTGTGAAACGGCTTCAGCGATTATTAGCACAAGTTTTAAAGTTATCATTCTGGCAAATGAGCTTCATATACAGCCAGTGAGACGTGCAGAGCTAGCACAGACAGTGGAAGCTATCGAGCCTATAATACTTTGTGTTAAAGAGATAGAAAACGACAATCGCGTGAGCACAATCAACAAACCTCTCCTCCACTTAATGAAAGCCCTCAAAAGTAAGATTTTGGGCCCAAGGATAGAGAACATGGGTCCCAATAAAACCAATGTGCCTAACCCTAACCCTAACCCTAATTCTAACCCTAACCCTGACCCTAACCCTGACCCTGACCCTAACCCTAACCATAACCATAACCTATTATATTTATATTGATGTAAATGACATTGGTTTTATTGGTACCCATGTTCTCTATCTTGAACCAGATTGGCCCCCTATAGGTCAATCTTAATAAGATTCTTATTAATCAACACGTGTGACCTGTAAACATGTGCTATTTGTCCTGGTACCGAGTTGCACGGCTGCGATATGAACACTTTGGCTGAGAGGGTCTATGTCCCCCAGGTTACTGCCTGAACGTACCCTGGCCCTGGGTACGGTCCAGTACACAGGCACTTGAAGCGTTTCATCTGTAAACACACGCCGCCGCCATTGCTGCTACGCTCACTGACACATAAATATATAGTGTGTTTGTGTATTGTGTTAGTGTATAGTGTTATTTAGTGTATATAGTCTAGCCTATATAGTCTATAGTGTATAGTGTTATTTATGGACTATATATTTATGTGTCAGTGAGCGTAGCAGCAATGGCGGCGGCGTGTGTTTACAGATGAAACGCTTCAAGTTCAAGTGCCTGTGGTCCAGTAGACCTACCCTGGTACTATCTAATATGCCGGACCGTACCTCGCCTACTTCACTAACGAGTCTAGGGAGTCGCCTACGCCTACTCCCTAACCCTAACCATATCAGATAGTTACCAGGGTACGTTCTGGCAGTACCCTGGGGGACATAGACCCTATGACTATGAGCAACACTTTGCACAAAATCAATATGTACGTTAGTCTCGATCCCAGCTTCCCCCACTCAAGCATATTAGGTGGATGCCTAGCTACGCTTGTTCCACAGGCACTCGCGACTGGCTGGTCGGGGTTCGATAAATAGCAACCCCGTTTTGCGCCTACCATAGTGTGTATAAGAGTATATATGAGAGAAGGTATGAAACTAAATTTACCGGAAGTTTGCAGGCGACTTAGAACATGTGTCTCTGTAGCTAAATTCCAATAAAAACTGTCACATCACTTACGTACCTCGATCGGGGGAGCCTTATTTATTCCATTGCTGGTTACATTGTGCCGTGACGAAGCTGTAGAAGTATAATTTGTAGAGAAAATGTGTGCGACAAGCGTGAACCTAACCAACTGCGCAACGGAAGTCGACCCTATGCTTTTGAAGGACGCAATCTGATTGGTCGATGGGTTTATATGGCTGTATGGTCGTTTTGTTTAAAACACGTTAGCAGACTGCCAGTGTGAACACACCAATCAGATTGCGTTTTTCAAACGCATAGATTCGACTTCCGTTGCGCAGTTGGTTAGGTTCACGCTTGTCGCACATATTTTTTCTTCAAATTGTACTTCTACAGCTTCGTCATGGCACAATGTAACCAGCAATGGAATAAATAAGACTCCCCCGATCGAGATACGTAAGTGATGTGACAGTTTTTATTGGAATTTAGCTATAAAGACACATGTTCTAAGTCGCCTGCAAACTTCCGGTAAATTTAGTTTCATACCTTCTCTCATATATACTCTTATACACGCTACGGTAGGCGCAGAACGTGGTTGCTATTTATCGAACCCCGACCAGCTAGCCGCGAGTGCCTGTGGCTTTTTCCCTGATTTCAAAAACACCTCCTATCTCAGGGACAGGAAGGACCATATTTTTTACGCTGCACGGCAATATGCCTGGCAGCCGGGCACGGTCTTCGATTTCCTAAATGCCTGGCAGTTCCTAACTCTAACCCTAACTCTAACCCTAACCCTTGTTTACTTGAGATAACGCTGAAAATTATAAACTGCCGGGCATTTAGAAAATCAAAGACCGTGCCCGGCAGCCGTCAGATATATATGCCGGCTGCTGGGCATATAGCCACTCTGTATTTTTTACCCCCCTTTGCGCGGGCTTTTTGTGTCTTTTTATACCCCCTATCTCAAGACTCGGTAGAAATACACCCCCTATCTCTGGACTCTTCAATAATACACTCCCTTATCTCAGGTCTTTTCAAGAATACACCCCCTTATCTCAGGATTTATTTAAATGCACCAAGCCATCGGTTACAGCTCGTCAGTCCGAAGGGTCACTGGTCCGGAGGTTCACTAGTCCGAAGGCTCACTAGTCTAAAGGCTCACTAGTCCCAATGGAAAACTAACATTTTCACTGATATTATTTAGCAAATTGTATGATGATTAATGGCGCCACGTCATGGTTGGTAGCAGGCTGCAGGAAAGTGGAACGATAAATGTCATAAACATCATGCTGCAGATGGCCATGCACATACACTGTCACTGGTTAGAACGCTGCTGTGTATTTTCAGAAAACTGAACAAATAAAATTTTCTAGAGCCAAAAATGTACAAATTGTGTGAATTATGTTGTTTTATGGTGAACGAGGGGCGGTATTACGAGGCTAAATTACGTACAAATAGATACAAATTATCTGTACATTGGAATTTTCTTGGCGATAAGTGAGATTGGCAGTATTACGAGGGGTGGTATAATGAGGTTTCACCGTAGTCTACAATTTCGCCACATCCACACACCTCCCCCCCCACACACCTCCCCCTACATCCACTGTGAGTGTTTCGGACTATAGTGAGACTTCGGACTAGTGGTCCTTTGGACTAGTGAACCTTCGGACTAGTGGGCCTTTGGATCGATTAGTGAACCTTCGGACTAGTGGGCCTTTGGATCGATTAGTGAACCTTCGAACTAGTGGGCCTTTGGATCGATTAGTGAACCTTCGGACTAGTGGGCCTTTGGATCGATTAGTGAACCTTCGGACTAGTGGGCCTTTGGACTAGCGGGCAGTCACCCAAGCCATCGGTATCATTTCCGAAAGTCATTTTGAGCCTCAGTTTTGCATCTGGATTATCAATTCCTTATGGGCTGGTTTTAAACACCCCTTCTTAAAAATATCTCTAGGCCAGTTGAATAAAATACCCCCTTTTCTGTGTTTCTCCAGATAAACCTGCTAAATGTAACCCTTTTTAAAGGATTCTCGGGCCGGAGATAGCTGGACAAAACGTGCCCCTTTTCTGGAGAAATTTGGAATGCAGGTGCGGTGCATCCGTACCCATGAGGGGGGGGGCGGGGTCTAGATGTGTTACATTGTGTATAAAACTTGCAAACAATTAACCTGATAAACAACATCATGAACATGCACTCGATAGTGCAAGATGTAGTCACGGTCCAAGTCTAGCTTCGCACCACGCATTAGTTTAACCCATATGCTAAAACACATTTGCTGGGTCCCACAGGCACTTGGAACGTTTCAATAAAAAAATATGGTAAATATACACAAAATGTATTTACTACCAAAGCTTTAATTTTACTTTACTATTAAATATAGCTGAATATAGTCTCACCTGACAGTGGAAATATCACTGATTACACCAAGATTAAAAACACTAAGATTTTATGCAGTTATAGCATACACAAATGGATTTGACCACATCGTAACAGCAATAAATTTTATCGTGTGCCGATAATGCCTAATGGCAGAATTGGTAAACTTGTATTTGTGTCGGTGAGTAATTGAAAACAAGTGCGTAATTTGCGAGAGCCTGTACTTTTTCTACTTCAGATAAGCGGTGGCGCCACAAGCTAGTTCAAGATAACAGAAAACGAATGTTTACGAAACTAGTTCAAAACCAGTAGTTCGAAATTGGCACTTTTTGGTGAATAAAAAGGTTCTAAGACATTTTATTGTTACTCTAGACAATTGCTGTTACTCAAGCAATAACGGTAGGTGTCATGAAAGTGGTGAAAACACTGGAAAACTCTCGCAATAGTTACTTTAACTTAATGTTTCTCTACTTTCTTTCGCCTATTATTGGCGTTAATTTCCTGTAAATGCCATTCAAATGCTCCTCTGCAACACACAAGTACACCGCACGCATGCCCGCAGACTCGGTATGTCGAATTTGGGGGGTCAAGGGTCAAAGGTCAAGATTGTTAATGGAGGGGGAATATTTCCCCCTTAACTTAACACGTTCAACGCTGCCTGGGTTAACAATGCACCTGCCGCCCTGTGCTGAGATTTTCGCGTTTTTACCGCTTAGTCACCTATTACACAAAATGTTTTTGGCAGGTTTAACTAGCTATAAAATTATTTATAATTAGTGGCTAGTATAATATAGATATAAACTTACTCTCAATTTACTGCTATATGCGGTTGATTAGGAATTTAGCAAATCAAATACAAGAAGCTTGTTTTGACATTGAAAATGTAGGATGAAGCCTTGAAGGTTGACTGCTATGCTGATTCTGGCTGCCTTGCTGATGCTGATGCTGCGCGCGCAGGTACACGTGCGTACGTGCGTATGCACGTACCCGTGCGTGCGTGCGTCCGTGTGCAAGTACACGTGTGCGCGTTCGTGCGTGCGTGCGTGCGTGCGTGCGCGCCTGTGCACGTACACGTGCGTGCGTGCGTATGTAGGTACACGTGCGTGCGTGCGTGCGGGCCTGTGCACGTACACGTACACGTGCGTGTGTGCGTGCGTGTGCACCTACACGTGCGTGCGTGCGTGCGTGCGTGAGTGGGCACGTACACGTGCGTGCGTGCGTGAGTGTGAACGTACACGTGCGTGCGTGAGTGTGAACGTACACGTGCGTGCGTGCGTGGTTAAACAACTGACGACTTGCGTCCAGTTCTTGGACATGCTAATTGATTGCTGACGAGCCAAACTAATCCCGTCTGCTTATTGTACTAACAATCGCGGCGCGTGCCGCATCTCGTATCTATCCTTCGTCGTTTACATCACTGCCCATTTCATGGTAGCATATTCCAGTGGTATATTGTATATAAATATGACTGTGTGGTATTTACCTAGGTATTCAATTCGAGGTTCTTTTTATCTGTCTACATTTTGTAGCATTTTTGTGAGAATTGCCTTGTCGTATGCGTAGAGCATAACTTTGCAGAATATGTTTGGTCTATCAG